CTTACAAAATCTTGTGCTTTTTTAATTGATCTATCAATTATGAAAAGACTATTAATGATAGCAAGGTTAAGTATATTAATAGTACAATATAACTAGCAGAAAGCAGCATTATTGTAATTATATTTTTTACATACTAGCAGGATTTTCATTACAAACATCTATGTTGCTAGCATTGTTAGTGGTTATTGACAAAATTCTTATTTCTAAACCAAAATTCTTGATTATTTCAAAAATCGTATTAGCTAAAAAATATCTATTTAGTATTTATAAAGGGGAATGAAGTCCAAAATTATATAATATAATTGCTATTTATCATCAATCTAATATAAGATAATTGCAAAAAAATTTTTAGTTTGTATATGAGAACTATATATTAGTCATAATTGACACCTTGTATCCAAAACTTTTTAAAAAAATATATATATACTCTTTTATGCAACTGCCAAATATAGATCGAGATTATTTGGCTACAAATAATAGAATTTTTATCTCAAAATAGTGTAAAATTACCCCAAAAGGAGTGCATATTTTTACTATGCTTGGAGAATTGTTTTTAGTTTTTTGGTACTACTAAATCATTACTCAATATAATTAAATTATCATTAAGACAAGATGTATTGGAGGAAGATATATTAAAGGTAGATACAGAATTTTGTGAGTATTTATTAAAAGGCATGATGCAACTAATAAAATTTTAAGAAACTAAATTTTTATTTAAAGCAACACTTTTATACTTACAAAAAGAAAAAAAATAAACCAATTATCAAAACAAAGAGAAATTTTTAAATTTGATGAAATTGTTTTATATAGCTAATCTATCAAAACCTCAAATGCTATATATGATAGAATTTTATAAACTTTTTTATCTTTTACTTTTTTTGAAAGCCCAAGATCAGTAATATTTACATTATATAAACAATACAAAGAGAGAATCTTTGGGTTTGATGCGATTGTTTTACAAACTTATTAAGATATTTGTAACAAAAAAATTGTAAATTAAGAGGACATAGTAGAGAAAAATTGTTATGAAGGGAATTCAAAAACAATTAAATAAATGATAGTTCCAATATTATATATTTTTATTAGCAAATTTTTAATAATAAATATTTTATATTTATCCTTTTGAATTTTAACTTTAATACCATCATGAATTAATTACAGTCAAATCTTCCTAAATGCATGTCGTCGGGACCAGCTCTGAAGCGTACATTTAGAGAGGGTTGCAATTGGAGAACACTAATAAAATCATAATGATACTATTTTCATGTAATAAACATAGCTTTAGTAGCCTAAAAATGATGAATTTGATTGGCTAATAATCACGCGGTTGCATTCATGGAGGGAGTTTATATAAGTGGGCCAAACAATTAGCGTGCAATTGCAGAATAAAGAACGTGCATTTATCTATAAATCCCATTATGGGGCTAATCTTCTATCGTGCATTTAGAGAGGGGTTGCATTTAGAGGGGTTGCATTTAGGGAGGTCTGACTGTAGTACAAAATTTTTAAAAAGTTAGAAATCCTGAGAAAAACTAATAGTTGTTATAGCAGATTGCATTAAGCAGTTTGCTTGGTAAGCTTTTATTAAACTAAAATATTATACTTAAAAAATATAATACAATTATATGATTATTACTTAGTAGTTTAGATAAATAAAGGCAAAATCACTTAAAAAAATATATACAGTATATATATAATTATATAATTTATAATATATGTGATTAGTGTTAAATACTATAGATACACTTTATAATTCTCAAAAAAATAGTTTAATTAAATTAGTAGTTGTAAATATAAATAATATATTACTATATATAGTACTGTATATTATACTATACTAGTATTTGACCTGTGCTGTTGCTACAGAAGTTTATAAATAGTATTATTTAAATAATTGGCTAAATAATTTTTTAGCTAATTCGATTAAGTTTGTGATTTTGATATAATATATAGATTCAATAAAATTCATATATGTAATATAAAATCAGATAAATAATATAAATATTATTGAATATATTTTCAAAGTATCTTTGCTAGAAAATATTTTTTAAAAAAAAATTTAAAAGGCCTATCATTTTGAAAAGTTGCCAAACACTTATATATTAGCATATCTTTTATAAGTCAAATTCTCAACCATTTTCAAAAATATAGATGTAAAGCTTCTATCACTTTCAGAACCACATTCACTAAACATAAATTTGTACTATATAAATTACAATCTGAAATAGAACTCTGGTTAGATGTTATAATAATTTGAGGGGCTATGAACCAACTTGTATATAAAGTACAGTAATATTTTATTTATATACTAATCTTCTTTTAATATGTACTTCATACAATATATTTAGCTTAAAAGCCTAATTAATATATAGTCCATTTTTTATATTTCTTGTTAGGATTTATTGACACACTAAACATGTTGGATAAGCATTTGAACAAAAATCTAATAATATTGGCATTATTGTTACAATAGTTTGTAAAACAGTTATTATAATATGCATCATGCTGAAATTGCAATCATTTAGCTAATTTTATCAAATGTTTTCAGAAATTATAAAAATAGCTATAAATAATTAAAAATACTCTAGCCAAATAAAAGAATTACTCTTAATAGACATAAATTCTTATTGAATTCATCAGAAATTATTTATTGTTCCAGAATTTATAAAAACAGCTATAATAAAGTGATGAGTTTTATATTTATAAAAATAGTTAATTAATACTATAATGAATTATTCGCTCATACTTACCTGGGTACTGATAAAAATTCAGATTACAGTTTATCTAGTTTGATATGGTTATACATGATCTGGTTTTAAACATTAATTTGTATTCAAGCAATAGTTTGATGTATAAATTTTAATTAATAAAAATTAGCTCAGGCAGTCAAGAGAGTTTATCACTGCAGTCAAAAAAAAAGATTAGTAACCATTTTTTTTCTTTATAGAGCTGTGCTAATTGGCCAAAATTTATTATAAAGTAAGATTATTCAAGTACTTAATAATCAAATCATTATTTTTTTATGATAAACTCATAATTTTTTTTATAATTAAACCATTATTTTATACTTTGTACTAAATATACTAAATATACTTTTAACAATATAGATCTTTGCTGTTATAACAAATTACTTTTTACTTTTTGTGCTAGAAACTTTTATAACAAATAAAAAATATCAAGGAACCTTCAAGAAATAACTGACAATTGTTATCTTCAGATGATGTTCATTAATTATTTGGTTTATTTCCTAAAGTATTAACATTAAATGAACTTGATATTTTATTTACAACTACTATTAGTAGTAGAAGTTTAATTATTGTCACTAATGGATGACTTTAAAAGAGATACATAAAAAATTTTTTTATTAATTCTTTATTAAAAAATTACAAATTTAAATAAAATTCAATATACACTTTTTCATATTCGCTATTAGTTCTATTTAAAACTAAAGAATTAAATAGTGGCACAAAAGAATAACAGTATATGATAATTTGTTAAATTTGTAAAAAGAACAACAGAAGTATTGTAATTAGGTGAAGGAAAATAGAACTATTTAGAATTGTTAAAGAAAAGCAGAAACACTTGAAGTAGTTGGAACAGATATATTTGAAGTTGTTGGTAATAGTAATATTTTTTTTTTTTGTAAAGTTGCTTTTTTTTTATTATTTGTTGTTGGAGATATGATAATTATAATATTAAAAAAGAAGATATAGTAGAAATAATGTATTTTTAAATTTATTTTTTTTAAATTTGTAAGTGAAAAAGGAATAAATAGAAAAAGAATTTTAGATTATTTATAAGTGAAAAAGAAATAAAGCGAATAAAAAGAAGATTATATTAATTGTAAGCAAAAAAGAAGTTTATTTTATTTTTGTACATGAAGAATTGCTTATTAGTTATCTGATATACATACTAAGCATGGGTTGTAAGACAGTACAATAATGATAACGATAACAGTAATTATGAGCATTCGACATGTGACATAGATCCACATGGTTAGCAGCTAATCGGAAACAATTTTTGTTTTATAGTGTTTATCTCCTAGTGTTTATACCCAACTGCATATATATATAGATACAGTATATAATAGTTATATAAAATTATTATATAAAGTTAAGTTAATAAAAACCAAACAAATATTTTTAATAAAATTTTAGAAACTTTAAACAAAAATAACTTAAAAAAATTTAACTAATTTTACAAATTTGTAAAAATTAATTTAAAAAACTTTTATTAAATTTAATTAAAGTTTTGTTAAATTATTATTATTTAAGTTATAAAAATTTTTATTATTGCTTAATTTTTATTAACTCACCTCATATATATAAGATAGTTAAATTTCTTGTAAATATAACATTTTATTTCTAAGTTTTCTATTTGCAAACTAGTTACATACTGTATTATTAATTCCAATTATTATAAAACACACCTATGGTGTTTTGCACCTATTATATATTTTTATTATATATTTTATATTTTTCTATATTCGAGTTAGTATTTAGAGTTAGGGTTGTGTTTTTAGGGGCGTAAAACATTTACTTAGAACACGTCACACTGATTAATTAGCTAGTTTTTGTAATAATGTATACATAGGTGTAGATGCATTTTGTTTAAAGTTCGATTAAAATATAACATTCGTATATTACAATATATATATGTAAAAATAGATTTGCGGTTTGTTTCTAACTTCACAATATGATTAGTTGCTTATTACCCCGCTTTATTCTAAATATATAGAAAAGTATAACGATAATCATAATCAACATAAAGTATAAAAAGCATTGATTATCATACAAATGTATAAAAGTCTGATTTTAATATTTGCATTTATCAGTTATTTGCAATATTTACATCGGCACTAGCATGATAAAGTATAGCGATAAATTAAAAGAATTACAATCAATAGAGAATGTAAAAAAGAATAATCATGCATCATTGCCTATAAAATTAAAATTAATAAATGAGATTGCAACGAGTTTACGAAATTCGTGGAATAAAGCTTAAAAGTCTTCATAATTAAAGTCTTTAACAAAGAACGGATTTTTTCCATGATCAGTATGCAGACGATTGAGAACATTTCGTTGTTGAGTAGGTAACGGTTGAATTTGATTACTAGTGTTTATGTTGCTAAAAGGAATAAAATAAACCTTGTTATGCTATTGAAAAAAAAAAAAAAAAAACAATCGTCAAATATATATATACCTTACAAACTCCATATTTCGATACTCGTTTAGCCGATTCCATACATCGAATGCCCGAAAGGCACCGAGTTGCGGCCGTGCTGGTGAAGGTTGAGGTGGAGGAAGGCGCGAAGTAGCAGCAGCAGCAGCAATTCTGACTTGAGCCTGAGCCAATTTCACTAACGATCAGTAATTAATGACAAATATAATGACAGATGTTAATGATTATAACATATTATTAATGCCAAATATTATGACATATTAACGACAAATGACAAATATTAATGAAAGGCATGTCGTGAATAAAATTTACAGATGTTGAAAGATAAATTATACATACATTCATTTTGAAGGAAAGTTGCCCTCAATTCACGATCATCTCGGAAAGGGTCGAATATGCCTTTATACTCGGGGAATTCCACCGGAGACGAGTGAAAAAGACTTGAAGGAATAAGATTTATATTATCCGTGGACATGTTTGTAATTAAAGTTGGATCGACCTGTGAATAAAATTAAAAAATTGGATTTTAATATTAAAATTACTAATAACAGTATACATAACATTTCAACAAAGTATATCGCATACTTGATTATGAGTTTCTGAGCCTTGTTCCGTTTCATCCTTCTTGAAAGGAGTCAACCGATCTTGCAAATCCGCAGGAAGTGTCATACCAGATACTTGAAGTATCATTAATTTTTGACGTTCAGTAAAGACTGGTGTCATAATACCAGCACGCATCTTAATTTATGGTATTATTCATACGTAAGTGTTAGAAAAAAAAAAAGGTATTAGGAATAATATTTTACGAATATTTTTATTTTTGAATATTTATTATGAATATTATGAATATTGTTACCATTCGTTCCAATAACGTTTCGTCAATGCGATGATATTCTTTGCTTAAATGAATTTTAAGCGACTCGATTGCGACTAGCAAAGCGCGTTAGTCATTAATCAATAACATATTCTACATATTAAACGCTTAGAAGACTTACGCTTCAGCATCTCGAATAAAAGATCGCGTTGCAAGGTTGTATAAAGATTTCCTTGGTGAAACGGAAACTATGAATAGTCGACATAACAAATTAAACCTTTGCTTTGCTTATAAGATTTATGTCTTAAAGATTTAGTAATTTATTTATTTATTTTTATTTTATTATTATTTATTTATTTATTTTTTTTACCTTTACAAGAACGCTTATGATATTTTCGAATGGACGTTCCGCACATTTACGGGAGAAATGAAGCTTTTCGAATTATCAGATCATTTGATAATTAGATAATTTTATTATGAGCTAGTAATTAAATAAAGTTATTTACCTTATAATTTCGGCAAACTACCAAAAGAGAATTCATTTCTTCTCTCGTGATAAATGGAATGTGCGGTACAGTTGGTGTTGATTGTAACATTTCCGAAGTTATGACCGCGTCGCAACCAGAAAATTCACCTTTCCATTTTGGAAAGACCGCTCTCATAAGATCCTCCTGAGATGATCGCATACATGAAACGAGACGTCCCTTCAATGGTTTCATGTTGCGCGTATCAACCGCACGGTTTGCCTCCGCAGGTGTTGCCAATTCAATATAAGCTTCAGAAAGTGTTTTTCCTGATGTTCTATTTAATGTAAAATATAAAATACGTTGTTAATATATAATATATATATATACTGCATATATTTATCAACACGAATTATTTTAATTTTAAGATTTACCTATCCATTATGATATGAATGCACTGTGCATACAACGATGCATTAGGTAACTTGAAAGCTGAGAGAAAAGTTTTTATTTCCTTCAATGAAACGTCCCATGGGATCTTTACGTACAAGTAAATGAAATAGATGGAATAAATGAAATAGACGAAATAGATGAGTAGACGAAATAGGGTTAGTATAGTACATTATTATTAAAACATTAGATTAAAAAACTACGATACAATTATCATTATTTAATTAATATTCACATTAGTAAGCTTAATGACGGGCCAATTGAAGGCAGTAGCTAATTTGCTTAGTTCCCCGAATTGGATCTGTTGGGGTCTATTAGTCATGGAGGTCATCGTTTGAATAGGTCTCGTAGTCAACGGTGCCATACTAGGAAAAACCCAAGAGAGTGGATGAAGAGCATCTTCTTCGGCAGTATTCTGCATAAATTGAATATTCATGTTTGTTTTCGCTGGAGAAATATTACCACCTTGACTCTCTTTTTTACCGGAAAAGGTAACAAATTCCGAAACAGGCTTTTATTAAAAAAAAGAAAATAGTAAACAATAGGAAATAATTAATTCACCTCGTGGTAACTTAACATGAACGGATTTAACAATATACCTTACCGTCTTGCATAATATACATTCAGAATATGTTTTGAATGAGCTTTTGACCGTATTTGAACGTAAAATATGAACACATGATTCGCACATTCTTTAAATTCAAGAGAAATTTGGTGTCCATTATTTTTAATATCTGTAAAAAAGTAAAAAAATAAAAAAAATAAAAAAAATTACCTATGACCACAAGGTTTCAATAAAACATTCCCATGGATACACGCGATGCAGCTAGTTCGCGAAGAAGTTTTTGGAATAATGTAGTCAAGCGCGGCCTTTCCTTGCGTGGAAACCACCCTAACAGTTGGTGGCTTAATTAAATTAGACATCAGTGATTTTCGGGAAGAGACAGAATGGGTTTGAGGCAATGAAATGGGCATGATCTGATCGAATGAAGAGACGATTGGTGAACTTGGAGCTGTACGACCTTCTTCGGGATTCTCCTCCACCGTTTCCAACTTAAAATCCAATTACGATCATAGTTACATTATGACACTTGGAGTAAGAATGGTCAATTATTACGATTATGTGTATATATATTTTTAACTTACTCTATTCAATGAATCCTTAAAATGAACATTAAAGGGTAAGGGTCTACCATCGTTCCTGAATTTTCCCAAGGCTTTAATTTCAATAGATTCTTCAGTGATTGAAGTGGAACTGGTTTGACCGCTCGATTGACTAGAGTGACCCGATGAAGCTGATTTATCAGAATCAGCAGGACTAATTTTCAAATTGTTGTTTTGGGGCTGTTTTCCAATAGGCGTCGACACTGATACTAAAACACATTTGATTTTTGATATATATATTTTTTTTTCTCGAATAAGTTTATTAAGACAAATAATAATAATCACAAGAAATACAAAAATTTTAAGATGTCCATAAATAATATCGAGCATGTAACAAGATATCAAAGAACTTTGACGCAACATTGTATAAAGCACCAAAGGACGAAACGATATTTATGTTTTTTATATTATCAAGTATCAATAAAATCAACACCACCTTCATTGATATGTTTTGTTATTTCGTCAAGCGCTCTATCAAAAGCTTTGGCGATATCGCTCTTGTCTGTTGTTACCATAACTGACTTTTTAGGGATAGTTGTTGGTGTTTCACCTTGTAAGATATGTTGCTCTTGATACATGACTATCCTTTTTTGTAAAGGTTCGTAAAGACTTTAACGCGTATTTTCCAAAATAATCATGTTTTTTTATTTTTTTTTATTTTACATACCAATAGAGACTGTACTTTTTATGTTTTTCAAATAAACTGCCAAAGAAGCTGAAAAAGTAAATAAAAATAAATAAGGTAGTGAGTGACTACTGCCTAATATGAACCTGCGGTCCCAAGGAGTGTAATATAAAAAGAAAGAAGGAAAGGAAAGTAAGATGTGTTTAAATTTGATGTGTAAAAGGAATGCTTATTTATCTCTACTTTTCTTACGTTTTACTATCCTCTTAGAACCAACCTTAATTCGATGTGATAAATGAAATTGTCCTATATTTATATGTAGGTGCTTCGTGAGGTAGTCTAGTAATATGACGTAATTGCCGATTAATTAACCGACTAAAAGAAGTTTGTTGAAGTTTATTGTGTTGTGTTAGAAATATTGCAAATAGCTGATAGTAATTATGATTTCTTATGCTTTATTTATTGTCTTAAGAGTATATTTTACTTTTAGCATTCGTATTAATGTACTATATAACGCGTGACGTAGATTGAAGAATCACAAAAATAGAAATCTTAAATTTATTATACTTTTTATTATACTTTTAATCATATATAATTATTATTTGACAATGTTTTAATATCTCGGAAATAGAATAAATGTAATAAATACTGTATATCATAATGGTTCGACTTCTCACGATTCTCTAGTTGGCTCTTTTTTTAGAAAGATCGCACATATTTTTACCATCAAAAAATAAACAAAAAAAAAAAATACGACAAATACGGTTTAAAAATAATAACATAAATGCGCAAAATTTACACACTTACTAATATTTGATTCATAATATATTTCTCATCTTAATATTATTATTAATGCAAAATATCATAACTTTCGGATTTTATGTGATATGATCCACAAATTATACAGTACTGTGATTTTATACAGTATTTGTTTCGAATATTAATTTCTTACAAACATTCTTATAGGTCAATTTATTCGCTCTAGCCTTTTGCGTACTATCTTATGTGATCTTATCGTTTTGTAACAATGAAATTATAAGTCGTACAGTATAAAGATCATCGAGTCAATATCAATATAGTATTTTATTAAGCTTTCCAAATAAACTTAATGTATACAAATCAGGTAACATTTCACGTTTCTATACCGATCTTTAATGAAAAGGAGGCGCACGTTCAAAAAATCGCAAAGCCATAATAAGGAATTATTAAAGCCATCGTATTTATAAACTAGTGTTTTTGAATTTATAACTTGTGCTAGCATATATAAACACTTAACTTTCGGATCTTAGAAGTTCATCGAAATAAAATCATCTACGTATACACAAAATTACTTTATACATATTTACTATTTTTTATAGTAATTAATATTTGTACGTAGCATAGTTGGCCAATTCGATTTAAGAAGAAAATTTTTTACAGCACTATAGAGTAGTAATATGTTAAAAGTGTACTATATAGTATTAAAATAACACTGTATATTAGTACTAAGCAATGTTATACACGGGACAGGACAAAGCTGGGACGGATTGGAACAAATTTAAGATTTTAAAAATAACAACTCAAAATTTTATTAAGGCACCTTTTTTTTTTTATATAAGTAAAATTGTTTAAAATTTATATTTTTTATTATTGTCTTGATACAACTTTTTGATTAAAAATTAAGAGCAAACTCGGGACTTTCCGGGATGGGACAAGGCTCGGAATAATCAAAATGTACAACATTGCTATACTGTATAAAAACTATATTTTAAACTACTGCATACAGTATCTGATATACAGTATATATATTTGGATTTTTAAATTAAAATTACAGTATATTAAAATTATTTTTTATATAAATTATAATTTATATTATATTGTAAAATTGTAAATAACTTTAAAAATTTTCATATTGGCTGATTTGTGAAATCGTCTAAAGTAGATGTTATTTGACATTTTTTAAAATTTCGAATAACTTTTTTTCTATCGATCCGTTTTTGATAATTTTGATACCAAAATGTTCGTCTCGATGAGTCAATTCCAACGAGCCCAAAATCATCAAAATCTAATCACTGGATCCCGAGATCAATAAATTTTTGCCAAGGTGACGCATCTATAGGGTGGGAAAAATGCGATTTCTCCCACCCGGCTAAGGTTAACAATTAGGTGGCCGGATTTTGTATTGCCGGTAATTTCTAAATTAAGGTTAGATTTTCATATTC